CAGCGCGGGCTTCCCCCTTCCCTCCTACTCCCGTCCCAGATAAAGACCAGCTAGGAAAACCCAGCCCGAAACACGCCGCAAATATTTGCGGCTCGACATGAGCATTTCGCGTTAGGATGTGTAAGGTGTCGACTCAGGGCGCTGCAAAAATTAAGAGCGCCAGAAAATCCCCCACAAAGAAGACCAGGTCATTATAAATACGATATCTAGCAACCATAAGCCTCTGAAATGACCTTTGGCTTGTATAGCAATAACTCACCACTTAATGAACAACCAACGGAAGCGCCTCCAATAGCTCACAACACAACAGAGCTCACAACTTTCCACCAAGTCTTCGCTCCCTATCCAGACCCGTCAGGATGCAGCGTTCCCCCTCCAAATCACCTTAATTTATGCCGCCAAACTGGAGTTAGGGAAGTGGAGCTTCACGACTACACACGGTGCTCGCTCAGGTCCTTGGCCCGGGCCTGTCTCGGTAACGTCTTATATAATATATTCACGTGGGCGTACGTCAACTTTAAGTGCTTTATTTTTTCAAACAGAGTTCATTAGAAATAGCACTTCACAGTGTGCAAGAAGAAAGCGTAAGTTGGGTTGCACCTTAGCCCCTGAGCGGAGAGATGATAATATTGCAGAACGAGTCACTGTTATCCTCTGTTGATTAACATGGTAAGTTTTCATTTTGCGTCTAATTAATTATCGACTTCACCTGCCTTTCCGAAGCAGCTTCTCAGCCTCACCAGCAATAGCTCCTTGCTCTAGACAAGCTCTACTTGGCGAGAGGTTGGGCAGGTTCCTAAATAGCGATGGCCACGAGAATAACCCCAAAAGTTTGTAGTCCGAAAGCCAAGAACCTCAAACACGTCGCTTTTGCACTCTGCTCCCAGCACTTCTCCATCACACTGAGCCTCAGAAGAAGAAGAAGAAGAAGAAAAAGAAGTTGCCACAGCTAAACCCGGGGAAATCTTTAGAATTATTCAGGCGTGGGCCCAATATAGGTATTATTGAAATTTTAGGTGAAGTTATAAGTGAGTGCTTCCATCGAGCCAAATGAAATGCTGCTTGCAGTAATTGGATTCAGCTGACTAACTTGGCAGGCCAGCAGCTTGAAGGCATACAGCTAAGAAAAATGTGCACTGCCTTTAAGTCCTGATCGAGCAGAGTAGCACGCAATGAGGTGGGGGAGAGGAAAAAAAAAAAGACAAGGAAACAAAATGCCACAACTTTCTCCCCGTGCTCAGCGCGGCAGCCCCGGCCCCGGGGGTTCCGCCCGCACAAAGGCCGCTTTTCCTGGGGCCTCCCCAGAAACCTCATCCAGGAGCTTTTCCAGGCTCCACGCGGGCCACGAGTTCTTGGGAAGAGCCGCTT